GCTTCTGCATTCCTGCTCTTGGGTTCACTGTTGTGGGGTGAAACATAGTTTCCCTTCGTGTTCATGAGCCTGACCAGAAGGGAATGACAGGAAGATGCTGAAGAGGTCTCCTGGAAGTTAGGAGGAAGTTTCAAGGATGGTCAGGAGCAATTGTTTTAAGTGGCCTTGAGATGTAAAAAGGGAGCAGGAGTGAAATGAGATTTGGCAGATTGAAATCATTTAGCCCAGGTTTGAAGTGGTGCCACACCAGGTCCTTGCAGGGGGTAACTGATGGCGATGACAGGCTCATTGTACAGAAAATTGAGTTGTTGTTTTTTTGTTAATGAAATTTAATTTTGGAAATATAATGGGAGCATTCCATTTATACTTTAATTTTAAGAAGGCATGTTTTGTATTGCTTTCTAAAACTAATGCAGTAATGTACCTTTAACTCTGGAGCATGCGGCAGTGTCTGCTGTGTCACCTGATAGACATTCAGTAAAGCTCTTTTAGAGCTCATTTATTTTTCATAGCCCTGCAAGTTCATAAAATAGTCATGGCTTATATCCATATCTTATTTTGCAGCATGTTCCAAGGTATTAGGAAAGAGTTTGTGAGGAAGCAGACCTGTCTCAAAGATGATAAGTTCTGCCTTTTAAGTTAATAGTAAAACAATTAAAAGAATCAGAACCCTCTTTTTTTCTGCAGAGTAAATGTCCTTATGGTCCTCAGGCTGTCAGAATCATTTTAGATTTTGAAATTTTCATGTAGGATTCCTCTTGTTAGAGTTAAGAATATTTCACTTTTTCAGAGGACTCAGCATTGGCCAGGAAACATGTCAGATTACTTAGTTCACTGAGATTCATTTACTTATTACTGTGTCATTATGATAGGATTAGGACCTTGCGGTGAGGCTTAGATTCACAGAACAGAGAACCTGCACAGACCAGGTTGCACAGATTTCCATGAAGCGAGGCAGCTAGTTAGAGGTAGTGATCCATTGTTAAATTAATTTCCTGTTCCAAGACCTCAGTGTAAACCCCCAGAGCTAGTTTCTGAGCCAGTGTTGGAGTGCCCTCTGGAGGCACAGGGAACACTCAAGTTTTTTTGTAAAAACCAAAGTTGAGACTCGCATGTGAGATGGAAGCAGAGAAGAGCTGGGGCCCAGGAGCTTGCCAGGCAGACTGAGAACGGAGTGAGGGTAGAACAAGAAGGCAAAGAGTGTGGCCAGCAGTATCCAGTGAGATATAGAACAGAAAGTGTCCTTGGATGGGTCAAGAGGAAGCCAGTACTGGGAGGAATGTCAGTGGTGTGGTGAATAGGAAATGAAATAGTAGAAACCAGGAAAGTCAGTCTTTAAAAGGCCTGTTGGGGTTAGTGGGGGAGGAAGAGTATGGCAGCTAAAGAAGGCATAGGATCAAGTGTGGTTTTTATATAGTGTTTTGCATTGTGCTGAAGGGACAAAATAAGATGAAAGGTGTGGGGTGGGGGAGGAGAGAGTTGGCTGAGGCATTCCTCACCTGGAAGACTTGGTGGGGGAAGAGATTGCTTCCCCAGGGGCTCTACAAGTGGTGGAGTAGGGATTTCCTATTCACTGTGGGATAATGGGAAATGTTTTTGATGGCAGACAGAGGTGCAGGTGAGAAGGCAAGACTGGCATGTGAGGGTGTGACCTTCTCATCATGCGCTAGCATCTTCTTTGTTGAGCTGAGAACTGGACTCAAGACTGACTTTTAGAGGATACCTGTATTTAGGAATAGGAATAAAAGAAATGATAAAAGCACTGAGCAAGGCCAGAGAAGAAGGGAGAATGTGTTGAATTGGGCCAGAGACATATAAACTGGGAGTCGGAAGGTGTGAGGAATGGCCTTGAGATTTGACAAGGGGAAAGCCATGTTGAGCAGTTTTATAGAAGTGACTGGTGGGGTGCATCAGTAGGGCGCATGGGAGGCACATAGACTGTGCTCATGGAGAAGCTGAGCATCCAGCTGAAGCCACCGGGGTCAGGAGCTGGCTGTGGAGGACAACTGGAGAGTGAATCTGTGCATATACTTAGCATAGTTTGCATGGCTAGAGAAAGGAAGATGATTGCCTTTTTGTTTTTAACACCATTATCTCGGAGTATAAGATCTATGTTTTGTAACTTTTCTGCTACCTCCTGTTTTTTTTTCAGATTGAAAAACTGGGGAGTTGGTTTCTAAGTCAGCCTATTCAGGTTTTGTTTTGTTTGTTTTCTGGTTCTAGGGATTGAGCCCAGGACACGTTACCACAGAGTCACATCTCCAGGCCCTCTTCCTTCTCTTATTTTGTTGCAGGGTCTCACTAAGTTGCTCAGGCTTGCAACTTGTGATCTTCCTGTCCCTGTCTCTCAACTAGCTGTACAGGCATGCACCACCATGCCCAGCCCAGCCTGCTCAGTGTTGAGGGGTAAGGCCTGCTGTGTAAGGTGTGCTCTCACACAGGGCCAGCTTAGCCTAGACATGGCCCCTGCCCTGGGACTGGTATGAAGTCCTTTAGCATATCATATTAAACTTAAGAAAATCCCCCATGTTTCCTATACAGTTAGCTTCTGTAGAACTATATGAGTTAAACTTTATTTGACATTTATTAACTCTTGATTTTGCAATTTTCGTTTGCATTTTCTGTCCAGTAAATTTCATTTTAAAGTCTACAGCATCAGGTCTTAAGATGCTCATAGGCCCTAGGGACTGTGCCTATTGCCTGGGGATAAGACATCCCTGTCCTGTTGGGAAGCAGACCTTAGGCTATGTCTAGGCTTGTCTGGCAGGGGAGGACTTGCTAGGAACCTGCTTGTTTGTGGGGCCAGAGAGTCTCCTGGGAAACCTTCATCCAAGGGGGAGTGGAAATAACAGTTGTGGTTAGAGAATCTTTGTTGTTGTTGAAAGAAATGAATTCATTCAGACTGCTTTAAGAAAAAGGGATTTGGGGCTGAGGTTGTGGCTCAGTGGTAGAGTACTTGCCTAGCCTGGGTGAGATATTGGGTTCGATTTTCAACACCATATATAAATTAATAAATAGATAAAAGTCCATCAACAACTAATTTTTTTTTTTTAAAGGGGGGGATATGTTGTAAGGATGCATGTGGACTAGGAAGCCATCAGAAAAGAGGGCAGTTCAGAGGCCGCCTCAGGCTCTCTCAGGGACAGTAGGTCTCTGTGGCATCTCTTTTCTTTGTCTTTCTTCTCTTGCTACCATTGGGCTCATTTTTTCCTACTCTGTATGTTTTTTCTCTACCTTAGCCTCTCTTTCCTGATGGGCTCTCCTTCCTTTTTACTTTGGTGTGCTGTGATTTCTTGTGACCTCTTCAGTCTTTTTGTATATCGCAGCCTTTCAGCTTCATCTCACAGCTGATCATCTCATTCTCTCAGGATTGTTTAGATTCCTCAGAGAAAGAGAGAGTCTGATTTTGTTTTGCTTTTATTATTGTTCAGAGCACATAGTAGTTCTTAGCTAAGCTCTTGGGTCTTGGTCTCATAAATTGTCATATGGCCCCTGCTAGCCTGGGTCTACCTTAAAGCTGAGGCAGTTCTCGTTAGTAGGGTTTATATGTCCATAGGCACCATGATTGGCATTCTCAGTAAGGAGAAAAAACCCTGGCCTAGTATCAAAACCATTTGAAATTCTTCCACATGTATTCCTGCCCTTTTAAAATATATCCTACTAATAGCTTTATTCTAAGATAACCCTTTGTTCCCACAAAGAAACACTGATCCATAAATATGTTTAAAGCATTTTCACTCTTCCATTTTCTTTCTCTTTACTCTCTAACTGTGCAGTGCTGCTCAGTGTAGTCTGAAACCCTCTCATATTAGTGATTTCTGCTGCAAATGGATTTAGCAACTTCAGATAGTCTTTAGCAAGTTGGAGAGTTATTATTATTCTTTTTAATGGTACTGGGAATTGAATATAGGAGTGCTCTGTCACTGAGCTACATCCCTGGCCCTTTTTATTTTGAAACAGGGTCTCATTAAGTTCCCTGGGCTAGTCTTGAACTTGTGACTCAGATCTTTTATGTATTACTGTCCTCCAAAGTTCCAGGGAGCTGTATATATAGCATACAGTGATTCAGCACCATTCCCAGATTTACAGCATTTAGGGAAACAAGTAAATGTCCTATCCAAATGTAAACATGGCAGCAGTTTTGATACCTAGGTCCCTTAATATATTGTACCTCCCAAGGAAGAGTTGAGTTACTAAACTTTAAAAATAGACTTTGAAATATGTATCCAAACAACTCTGAGTCATAGAATGTGGCAGAAGAGGAGGTAGTGGATGAAATAAAGTAATGATAATGATAGCTCATCTATGTTGAGCCCTTAAAATTTGGTAGCACTGTGTGTGTTTTTTTTAATATTTATTTTTTAGGTATAGTTGGACATAATACCTTTATTTTATTTATTTATTTTTATGTGATACTGAGAATCGAACCCAGGGCCTTGCACATGCTAGGTGAGCGCGCCACTGCTGAGCCACAACCCCAGTGCTGGTAGCACTGTTTTTTTTTAAATACTGATGCATTCACTTATTTAATCCTTCAACTACCTTAAAAGATTTGATGTCTTTGTGATCTCTTTAATTCCATTTTGACCTTTTAGGTGAAAGTCACACAGCAAGGATGGTAAGGCCTGCCTGTGAACCCATTCTGTCTCATTTGTCTCCTTTAGTGCTCCTCTTGCCTGTAGAGTCAGTGACAAAACACTGCTGACTTTTTGCTCCCTGGGACTCCAGTCGGAGTCAGACATCCAGTACCCACCAACCTACATCTTGGTTTGAATAAAATTCCCATCAGGAGGCTCATTGTGATACTAGGATTCCTATATTTTGAAAGTTGCACAGACTGCCTGGATTTCCCTTTCCATGATTTCTCAGTGTTTGCATCCCTTCTTTGGTTTTCTATCCTTGGAATCCTATACATTTATATAAACCCCAATGTAAATGGTTCTGTCCTGTCTTGTGAATGAATGGACTGTTCGTAATGGCCAGTTCTTCAAAACACCTTGGAATCCCAAACTCTCCATAATGTAAACCTGCTTTTTTTTCTCTGCATCTCTCCCATCCAGCAGGATCCTCAGGCTGGAGGAAGTCGCCTGCTCTTGCACCCTGCAGCCACTGTGGGCCCTGCCTCTGTCTCCTCTTCTGGAATGTCTTGAGGGTTGTGATTCCTGTCACTGTGGTAAGTTTCCCCTTATTTCACCATTTGTCTGAGATGGAGAATCCCCTTCACACGTTTTGAACTGAAGCTGATTGTCCTTGGGTTTTTTCTTTCTCCTTAGCCCTCCCCACCATCTCCTTAATTTTTAGCAGTGCTCTCAGGTTAGGGAGGAGGAAACTCCCAGACCTCATGCTTTTCCTTAACTTGCCTTCATTTGACTTTCATTCCAAGGATGGCAGAAGCACTATTGCCCTGCCTCTCTCTTTTTTTCCACAATTGCCCTGCCTCTTTGTCCAGAACTTTATTTTCTTCTTTTCACACAAACCATTAGTTACTAAGCTTTGCCCCATTTTCCTTTGTTATCTTGGAGGCTTTCCTTGCTTTCTAGATCTTATGCCATTTCCTATTTCCTTGTTTCTCTCTTTACTGAGATAGCAAAATGTTTTTTAAAAGCTGTTTATTGCTCCATAAATTTCTGGTATTTTTCCCAAAGCTTGAACAGTGGCCTTTTCTAAATATGGGTTCCTGAAAACCATCTCACCTGGGGAGTGTGGTGGTACATCAGCCCCTATGTGAGCTCGATTCTGAGAACTGTCATGTACCCAGCACAAGTATCTTTTTTTCCTATTTTCTTTTGAGCTTCTGGATCTGCGATCCTTTTTTAATGATTCTCATCCCCTTTGACTCAAGAAGACAACTTGTATCTAATGTGGGACAGGCTTGTTCATCTGATCTTGCTGATATGCAGATTGCATAGTTGAATACTCTTTCCAGGCCCAGCTAGAAAACATGAGAAAGGGAAAACTGTCTCTCCCAAAAGTCTGCCTTTGGTGGGAGCATGCCATTTGTCCTCTATTCTCCCACTGCCAGAGGTGGGTTTCTTAGGCCCTTGATGTCTCCCTTCCCTGACTTCACTCACTACCAGTGAGAATTGACTCAGTGAGGTAAAGGACATTTCTGTGGCCTCTGTCTTAGTGGGACCAACGGTGCCGAGTTGGAAGGTTAAATCCACTTGGATGTGTGTTGTCTTCCCTCTCTCCTGGCTTGCGTGGCTGAGTGGTAAGGCATAGTCTGCTCCTGAAGGGAAAGTCTGGTCTGCCCTCTCTGTTCGGGTGTCCTGGATGGGTTTTCAGGTGATGCCTTGTTTGGAAGATGGGAGCAAGTGTGGCCTGGCATAATGTTCTCTGTCTCTTTTACTTTCTGGCTCTGTTCTCTTCCTGTCCTGACTTGGGAACTCTTGGCCTAGGCTGTATTCCAGGTGTTAAGACTGAAGGTTCAGGTCTAGAATTTTATGAATTCCTCTTCGTGCCAGTTATATATATTGGTCTCAAGCTCGAGGTTGCATCTAACATAGGAAAAACGGTTTTCCACATGAATTTGCTTAGCACAGGAGTGCTGCACTGGGAATTGGATTCATGGGCCCAGCTAAAATTACTAGTAAAGTGTTCACGTCTTGCAATTTTAGTTCAGTACTATGCATGAAGCCTGGATGTTGAAGTAAGTTCTGTACAATGTGTTGTAACCATTCCCCCAACCCCTTCGGGAGAATAGGGTGGCAACACATCTGTGCATGCCAGTCTTGAGTTGTGATCACCAAGGCCCATTCAATGTCAGTATTCTTGCTTTCTATGACTCCTTGGCTGGAGGAAGTCGCCTGCTCTTGCACCTCATGCCTCCTGAATGAGCCTGGTCTGCATGGTGACTACCCTTGTTCATGTTCATGTTCATTTACTAGATGGTACAACTTACTTCAGAGCCAGACTCTGAAGTCCCTAGGGTAGTCAGATTTATAGAGATAAGGAAGAATGGGGGCTGCCAGGAGCTGGAAAGAGGGAGAAAAGTGAGGCTGTTCTTGAAGGGGGTTAGATTCTCACTTTTACAGGATAAACTATATTTAAAAATAGTTAAGATGGTAAATTTATGTTTCTGACCACAATTAAGAAAAATACGTAAAATACAGCCAGCATGCCACATCCTTAACTTTAAATCTAGGCACTACTATGATGGGGAACTCCTGCTCCCAGCGTCACTGAGGATAGTCCTTCTACATACCCATTTGCCATTTCTGTCTCTTCTCCAAGGCCCAGTCAGTCTGTCTGGTTTCTTGTATACTTAGCTAACCTGGGGGTCTTGAGCTTTACAGCTTATTCTTTTTTCTTCTGGACCTGCCCCTTTGGCTCATGGTATAGCAGCGACAGAAAGACCTAGGTTTGACAGGTGGAGTCCTTCCCTGAGCACAGGAGCTGATCTGGCCTAGGCCTCCTGCACTGTCTTCCCTGCTCCCTCCCCTCCTAGTTCCTGGCTGGCCTAGGGATGAGAGACTGACCCCTTGAGAAGACAAGATGGAGTAGATTCGATTCAACTAAAGGCTAAGAAGTGGCAGAGAAGAGGGCATTTCCTAACATTCTGTTGTTTATTGTGCACTGATCCTCCATCTAGATCTCCTAGGGTGTCCTAAAAAGATTTTTTTTTTTCTCAGTGCTAGTGATAGAACCCGGGTCCTTGCAGCATTTAGGCTCTGCCACTAAGCTATATGCCCAGCCCCAAAACTCAGTTTTTTTATTTGCCCCATCTTGTTTTCCTGAGGGTAAAGTGATTACTACCTCCTTTGAGAGGTGGGCAAGAGTTTGCCCTGCATGACGACAGTAGCCTTCTTGCCTGTTTTGTTGCTGACTAAGCTGGGACTGATGGGAATAAATTACTGCCAATGGTCACACAGCTACTGAGTATTTGACCAAGAATTTGAACTTAGGCCTTTTGCCTGCAAGTTCAGTTTTCTCCCCACACATGTTGGGATTCTTACTGCTTATGAATGTTACACATTTACTAGGTAGATGAGATAAGCTGAGGCCATACACAGTGCTCCCATGGGGGCCATCCCTGAAGGAAATCATCCTGCTCCATTATTCAGGGGGTTGAATGTGGTGTTGAAGAGCAAGAAAAAAAGTAGTGGAGTGCAAACTGTGTCCTCACAGTCTCACTAAAGTCAGACTTGTAAAAACCACCTGTGCATAGAGGGCCAAGAAGGAGAAACTGGTGGGCGGAAGTAGGGAGGAGCAGGAGACAGACGCGCAGCATCAGCGCAGCTTCTGGCTTTGAGCAAAGGAGGAGCCCTCATCACCAGATTAGATCATCACGTCCTCAGGAGCCTCTGCCTATGAAATGACATTCTTGGCAGATGAAAGAACATGTCATGTGCTAATTAAAATACAGGAAACAAATATTTATTTAGCTCAGCCATGCTCTGGGCCTTGTGAGTAGATGCTTTCACATGCATTAGCTTTTCTAATCATCCCAGCAAAGTACTGAGATGGGGCTGTCCCTACAGGTGCAGATCTGACTGGGATCAGCTACAGATACACAGCAAGCGGCAGCACCAAGACAAGACCTGCACTCAGCTGGGTCATTCTGTAGGTTATTCCTGTGAGAGGACTTTGCTAAAGGAGGCAGTGGGGTATCTGCCAGTGTCTTCCTTCTCAGACTCAGAAGAAAACTTGGCATCGTTCCCTTGATAATTTTTGTTGCTCTTCTGTGGACTGAATTTCAGTCTCTGGTAATTTCTAGTTAAAAGGAAAATCAGACACAGCTTCTTTTGTCTTTTGTCCATTGGGAGTCATTGAACTGAGTCATGTGAAGAGCAGTTTTCCCTAGGACAAAATGAGAGCTTCTCTTCCCTATACCTCTTAAAACTCAGGGCCCAGTTGAACTGGGTCTCTGGGTCTTCTGTGAGAGAAACCAGAGGCCCTTGGACTTGAGGTTTGTAAGGTGTAAAGAAACATGAGCAGCAGTAAGGGAGGAGAAAAAAGAGGGGCAGGTGAGGGGCCCATGCGTGAGATGGATGGGGAAAGTGGGCTACAGGGAGGCTGAAGGACCATTGTTGTTGGATTCCCTTCTAGCGCTCAGGAGTCACACTGGATTCCCACAGTCTTTTCTGGTCAACTGGTGCTAGAGACAGACAAGGAGGCAGCAAAAGTGAAATAAAATCCTCTTCTGTCAGTAAATGAGCAAATGTTTTAGGAAGTCTGACCTTATTCCAAAAAGGAGAAGAGTAGATTCTGATTGAGCTTAAAGTTTTAGATGGAAAATCCTGATTGGAGTCATAACCACTTTTGACACATCTAAAAAGTTGATTAGAAAACCTTGGGGAGGGCTGGGGCTGTAGCTCAGTGGCAGAGCGCTTGCCAAGCATGCGTGAGGCATTGGGTTCGATCCTCAGCACCACATAAAAATAAACAAATAAAATAAAGGCATTCTGTCCACCTACAAACACAAAAACGTTTAAAAAAAAAAAAACTTGGGGAAGTTTCTCCTGTTAGATTGGAGGCAGTGATTAATTATTAATGACACACTCTGGGCATGCTAGCCACTCCATGGGCACCGGGTGAGGGGCTGATTCCCATATTCAGAAGTGCACAGTGGAGTGCCAAGGTAGCTGAGAGGTGCAGGCCTTTGGAGGATAGAAGCTTGGACTGTGTCCTAGGGCCGTGCTACGATGATTGGCACCCCCTTTCTCCTACTGCCTTTAGCTTCCCTAGGGAGGATGAAGGAGGCCAAGACTGCACACTGAGAAAAACATTCTGGCCAGCAGACCTTCCCAGGAGCTATAGGCTGGAGTGTGAGGTGGGGGAACAGTAGCTGCAGGCCTTAGCAGCCATGGAGTGGACTTGGAACAGTAGGCAGGCTCTTCTCCAGAGTTTCTTCAAGAGCCTGGTGAGAGGCCTGGGACTCAGGGTGGGGCTCACTGTGAATCTCACTGTGAACTTTGTTGGTGATGGGCCCAGGGCACTTGCAGAAGACCTCACATGAGGAAGAGCAGCCCTGGCATCTTCAGGAATGGAGTGCTAGGAAGAGTTTGGGAACTGGGCAGGGCTTTGGGGGGGATGTGAGCCTGCCTGGGGCAGTGGATGGGTATCTTCCAGGCTACCGGCAACTTCACAGGATGCTTAGTGAGCCATGGTGCTGATGAGTGAGGGACAGGGTTGCTGCAGTGAGCTCACTGGAAGGCACAGCTGAGCAGGGGT